TGTGACTTCCTTTTAACTACATCCATACACGTGTCCATAAGTACAGTAATGGACGGTTCAGATCAGTAGAAGGGGGGCGCTCGTAATATTAACTACAAAATGATTGGAGATCAAGTACAATAACTGTCCCATTACTGGAGCTTGTCAGAAGGTGGTCAGAACTTGTTGAAGGGGCATCGAAGGTTGGCTGTCACGTGGTTGGTGGAGGCAGATGATTGATAGTGGCAATGGGTGGTGGTGAAAGAGGGAGGAGTGAGTAAAATTATTTTGAAAATAAGTATAATTTTCCATTTTTGAAAATTTTAGAATCAATTCTATTAAATCTCATTTTGTAAACAAGATATGAAATTTTTTAAAATTTTGTATAACCATCAAAAACTGATTTGCTTGTTTAAATAATAATAATAATAACAAAATTCTTTCCTCACTCTTCTATCCATTACAATCACCACCAATCATTTGATCACAACTAATTACCGTTGTTGGTTACTTCGTCTGACCATTACCTCTTGCAGTCGACAATCACCTATAATTGCCATCAATCACCTGCAACCTTTGGGCAACACCCAACAATGATTCATCCCACTAAAAACATCACCACTAATAGCACTAATGCATTAAAAAAATAAAAAAAATAAAAAAAAATTACAACTCCAAGACCAAAACATCACATCATTCATGGCATAAAAAAAAATTACAACTCCAAGACCAAAACATCACATCATTCATGGCGGGACCCACTGCCACCTAATTAGTGGGAGCACTAATTAGTGCTCCCAAGCATTTTTCGGGCAACACCTCATATTGCAGACCATTTGAGTGGACAAACATCAATTTAGAACCGGAATAAGATATATAAAAATCTCTCACGTCTAAGCATGGTCAACCCAATTTGGATTTAAAAATCTCTCTTAAAATGGTATTGTACCCTTGAATTCGTCTAAAAAAATTCATATATTAAATAAAGTAATACATGTAAGGTTATGTTTGGGAGTTGAAAAGTCAAAAAAAAAATATTATAAATTGTCAAATTGTAACGACTCGATTTTTAATTTATTCTATAGAATTTATACTAATATTACTTAATCTCAATTAAGAAAATATATAATTTATTATATATTATTATGTGTAATTTTGTAAAATAATATAATTAGTAAAAGTTTAGGGGTCACAATATAAATAATAATGATATAGATAATATAAATAATAATAATAATGGGGGGTAGTACTAAAATAAATAATTTATTTTCTGTTGGTATATGATTACATGTAATTTAATTAAGAATTATTTTATTTATATAATTATATTAAAATGTTGGGTCAAATGATAATTATCTTAAATATCTATTAAGAATAAGAACGAATGTATATAATTATAATCGAATCTGCGGAATGATTTGAGAATGGGCACGTGTTGGCCAAAGACTGGGTTCACCTCCAATAAATAGGGAGGTGATTCGGCTGGAAGGAAAAAAGAAAAGAAAGAAAAGAATGAGAGGAAAGGAAAAGAAAAAATAGTGAAAGCTAAAAAGGGTGAAAAGAAATAGTAAAGTATTACAGTTAAGGTGAGTTATATTATATCTTAAGTTACCAAAATATATTTTACGTATGTTTTCTTATCAAAATCTGTTTTATACAAGTTATGTTTTATTAGACTCCGTTTGGGAAGAGCTAGATTGGGTTTTTTGGCTATTTTAGCCACAAAAGACAAAATAGACTATTTTAGCCATAAAAAATAAAATATCATATCCAACCCATAATCATTACACTCTTCTCTCACAAAAAAAATGAAAAAAAACCAAAAAACCAAAAAGCCTTTCCCAAACCAAGTTTTTTAGCCCAAGTTAAAATAGCCAAAAAAGCCAAAAAGCCAACTCACTTCCCAAACCAACCCTTAGTATATTAATCAAAGTTATGTTTTATAAAGGTTTCAGTTACGTGGTTTTATTTCTGAACCCTGTGTGCTTAAAAAGAAACCCATGGATATGTTTGTTTTACTTTTAAAGAATATTTGGCTATGACCTTATATACAATTATATTTTGTAAGTACCACTACGGGAGTCTCACACCTTGGGGGACTTAAATAACCATTGGCCTCTGTTTTGTTACTTTGTGACCCTCTGATCCATTGACCTTTGTTTTGTGCGGACCAAAGTGCTGTGCGGAGCTAAGTGCTACACTATTGTGGGAGCCACCTCTAGAATCCGTACGAGCCACCTCTTGAATCCGTACCTCTGCTCTGTGCGGACTAAAGTGCTGTGCGGAGCTAAGTGCTACACTATTGTAGGAGCCACCTCTAGAATCTGTACCAGTCACCTCTTGAATTCGTACCTCTGCTTTGTGCGGACCAAAGTGCTGTGCGGAGCTAAGTGCTACACTATCGTGGGAGCAACCTCTAGAATCCGTACGAGCCACCTCTTGAATCTGTACCTCTGCTCTGTGCGGACCAAAGTGCTGTACGGAGCTAAGTGCTACACTATCGTGGGAGCCACTTCTAGAATCCGTACGAGCCACTTCTTGAATCCGTACCTCTGATCTATGCGGACCAAAGTGCTGTGTGGAGTTAAGTGCTACACTATCGTGGAAGCCACCTCTAGAATCCGTACGAGCCACCTCTTGAATCCGTACCTCTATTCTGACTGTCACTTATGTGACCTCTGTTCTGTTCTGTTTAGTACCGTGGTTATGCTTATATACTTATATAATATCTGTATTTCAGTTTCTGCCACTTAAATAATTTGTTTATGTAAATGTTTTGGCCTAACTAACTATGCCTAACTAACTATCCATAGTTATTTCATGTCCTTTATACTCTTGACATAATATTTCTCACTCTGTCATGTGTTTATAGTTGTTTACCAATTTTCAGGAAACAATGCAATTCAGAAATAGCTTTTGGAAAGTCTTAGATGCGGGGCTGCGGAATAGACACACACAACACTTTTATGATATTTTTTATATGTAAATATCGGCTTTTTTGGTCAGTATATTTTGTAATAAAAATAGAAGCTCCAATGATTATTTTGGTACCCTTATTTAAATATTACTTCCGCTCGCGTTATTTGATTTGTTTAAGATTTGGCCGGAGGTAACTTCAGTTATTGGCCATCACGATACTTAACTCTTGGATACAGGGTGCGGGTCGTGGCATAAATCCTTCTCTACATTTTTGTATATTTAAAAAAAAATCAAAAAATCACTAAAAAATTAATTTTTATATGAGTCCTGAAGACTGATTAATAGGATGATTGGATTAACCTAGATAAACCACCTCAGTTTTTAAATTTTGCTATCTTTAATAAAAAAAAAAAATTGAAATTATATCATTTTTTTTATTTATTTTTCCGGTCACCTCTTGTGTAGATAAATTTTAAAAATATTTTTTAAAAAAAAATTCTCAAAAGATTTAAAAAAATCAAAAAAAGTTTTAAATTATTGTTATTTTTTTATATATTTTTTTAAAATTTACAATTATTTTTTGACTCTTTTTTTTATAAAGTTTTTTTTTAAAAAAATTCAATTCGTCTCGTCAGATAAAATTTAATTCTAAATTTTTTTAATTGTTTTTTAAAAAAATTATTATAGACAAAAATAAACTAACAAAATAGTAAAACAAAAAATGCAAACACCAACTAAAGTCATAAACCTATTAACATTTCTACCAAGTATTTTACCAAATATCTTACGAGACTGTAGAAAGATTTACGTGTAAGTCCTAATAAATGGACTTATTATCCAATAGATTCTGTAGTAATTAATAGCATTTTTCATTAAACACTATTAAAAAAAAGTCACTAATTGTTAATTTTTAAAGACCATTTGAAATTTTGCCACAAAAAATGTTAATAATTATAAGTTTTAGTGACAGTTTAAAAAATTACTAATTTTTAACTTTCAGCAATAATTTTAAAAATTTGTCATAAAAAAAAATCACTAATTGTACGTTTTAACGATAATTTATAATAACCATGACAAAAAAGTTACTAATTATCAATTTTTAGTGACATGTAAAAAAATCGTCACAAAAATTTATTTTCAACGATAATTTTATTAGAATTTATTTTCAATAAAACTTAATGAAAATTAAATCTAACTATTATGACTTTTTTATAATTGAATATGAGATCCACACTCATATACAACATTTATTTGTGATGATCTAAATAAATATATTTTATAAGTTTTTAAGAAAAGATTTACAAAAAAGTAGAGAGATGATATAATCCAAAACTCAATAATAAAAATATTGAAACTATGACCTCATTTGACAACTTAAAATTTTAAATAAAAAATTTAAAAAACATTATAAATTATTATATCATTTTTTTTATTTTTTATATATTTTTTATAAAAAAATATTAAAATAACCTATCGGAAGCCAAGCTTTTTTCTTTTTAATAAGTAAGTTCTTTTAAGTCATCCAATAGTAGCCGGTGCCCCCACAATGGCCCTGTTTGGTAAGGCTTATTTTCAACTTATTTCAGTTTTTAACTTAATTTAAGCTATTTTGACGTATTTGATTCAGCTTAATAATACAGCTTATAGCTTTTTATAAGTTAAAAATCAACTTATTCTTTGAATGGGGGAGGAGAAGCTTAATTTATAAGTTAAAAATCAGCTTATGTTCACAGTTATAAGCTATAAGTTGTTAAGTTATAAGTTATAATCACTTTCCCACAACTCTACCAAACGGGACCAATGAGATTGTTTGTTATAATTTTTTAAAGGTAATTATAACTTATTTTAATTTAAAAATTTATATTAAATTATTTAATGCAGCTTCTCTTTATAATTTATTATGCATAAATTATTTAAATAAATTGAAAAAAATTAATTATTTAAAAATTGAGATAAAATTATTTTTAACTATTATTTTCTAATTATCAACGTTTAACTTAAAAAAAATAAATAAATAAATTCCACTAAACAGGCGAATGGCCCTTGCCTCCACTCCACAGTTCCACGTGCTTCTCTTCTGTCACTCCCTCTCTCACTCTCACTCTCACTCTCAAATGATTTTCACCCCAATCTTCTATCCTCTCACACTCTCTCTCCGCAACCCCCCAACATCTCTCTCTCTTTCTCTCTGTCTCTCTCTCTCTCTCTGCTTGTATAATCAACAGAGTGTGGAGTTAGAAATGAAGGTTTCTCGGAACTGAGAGTCTTTCTAAAAGAGAAGATTTCGACTCCGCATTACAGATTGTTGTTGTGGGGCTTCAATTTCTTCATCTAATAAGGTCTCTCTCTCTCTCTCTCTCTCTCTCTCTCTTTCTCCTCTTTTTATTGTTCCCCATATTTTTCTATTTCGTTATTTACATTACGCTTTTGCTTTGGATGACCCCCATGACCAGTCTTTTCCCTCCTATCTTCTCTCTCAATACGCTGATTTATGTTTATATCTATATACACACTTACATGCCCAGTAACATTTGATTCCCAATTTTTTTCTTTTTTTTAATTTCAATTTTGGGTTTTGATTGTGAAACCAAAAAAGGCTTGCCTTTTGCTTAAAAAGTTGTTTGGTTATGTTTATGTCCAAAAGGCTTTTTAATCTTGTTTCTTTCTTTCTTTCTTTATCTTTTAATTTTTGGGTTTGTAAAGGAAATGATTTCAAAGGGAGGTCAAAGTAAAAAGATAAAAGGGATGAGAAAGATTGAGGGAACAGATATTGAGTGTAAAGGTGTCATTGTTCAATAAAATACAGTAAATAAATAGGATTAGATGGACATTACTCTTACTAATTTAATCATGTAGTGTTCACTCATGTGAAATTCCTTATTGATTTGTGATACTGTTATACCACATATCATCATTATGCCCAACATTTATGTTTATCCCAAATTGTCATATTTTTTTTTGTCAATCTGCTTTCTCAGTGATTACTCTTATAACTCAATGGTAACTCAGTGTAGAGTTCATGCTAACTTGGTTTTTGTGAGAACTAACTGAGCCCCATATATTTCTCTCCTGCAATAGCAGTCATGAAGTAAAAAATGTGAGGTAAAAGTAACATTTTTTTCTTATTCTATAGTTATTTTGCAATGATTTTATTGGGTCCTTCCCTTTCCATACTTGAAAAATTGAACCACTAACATAAGCTTGTATGGTGATTGGTGACAGGCATGTTTCCTCCCCCATTTGTGCCAATTGGGCCCTTATATGTCCACCATGTTCCCCTTTAATGAATTAAATTGCACCAACTTTATAAATATATAAAAAAAACTTCCATTTTTGTTTGTGGAGCAACACATCATTGTCTCAGGACAGTGTCACACTAGCACTTAATTTTGTTTTGTTTTGTTTTGTTTTGTTTTTTTTTTTAATTTTCTACATCTCAAAGTATTTGAGAAAGGGAATGTTGCTTTGATATTTAGAGTTACCCTTCTAAATGGTGAAACAAAAATAAAACTTTTGGTGGGTAATTGTGTAAGGGTAATTTTTCCCAGTAATGTACAACTTTCTATGCTTTTCATTTTTTATATTAATAGTTATACATGAATGCTTTAGATGTCACATTAAAATATTGGTATCACGCACTTCCCTCTCACTGGAGAATTTTAATATTTTAACAAAATATTTTGGGGCATGTCATTATCATTTTGATTTATGTCATTGTCATACGAGGGAGAAGTTGATAATTCTAAAATTTTGGCGTGTGTCATTATCATTTCTGTAAATATTTTATCTAAAGAAGCTACTTTAGAATAAGCTTAATCTAGATGCCATTGGTTGAAGCCCCAGGAATCCATGATTTGAATCAGCAATTGAAAGGGCCAGCTCTGATAGTAATTATGCTTGAAACAACATAAAATTATCAAATGATAAGTGATATTTGTCACTAGATACCATTTTATTTCACTTTTCACGTATATATGTTAAATATCATGTGCATATTACAAATAATGGAACCCAGCATACTTACTTGAAGAGTTAGTTAAAGAGTTCCGGTGAAATATTCAGACAATGTATAACAACTCTCTTATGAGTACATAAACATATTTCTTATAATAAAGATACTTGCGGTTGACATTATTAAATACACGAGATATGTTATCCTTGTCTAGTAGTAAAAAATGTGATAAGAATCTGTTTACTTTTAGCATTTTCTTTATCGGATTGCTCTGATGTGTTTTGAACTTCTGTAAATTATTTTGTTAATAGTCATTATTGATCTGGCAATACTGACAGCAAATGGAAATTTGTCACTGATTGGGCTCAATAGACACTGTCAAGCATGACACTCACCTTAGCGAACATTGTCACTGGAAAAATAAAATTAAAAACATAATTAATTTATGAGACAGTGATGCAATGGGGTTTTTGTTTTTGTAAGGTCGTGGTGCAGAGCTTCTGGAATACCTGCCCCAATCAACTTGGGGCCTCCTGAAATTTGTTGTGAAGACCAAGCGGGATACAGGAAAAGATGATGATAATGATGAGAAGGAGACTTGCTTGCTGTAACCGGGACGCAAAGATTAGCCTTGACTTTGATGAACAAGAGAGTAAGCTCTCTCTCTCTCTCTCTCTCATGGACTTTAGCTAAATAAAAATAAGTCTTATGCACAAGACTTCTGTTACTTTGGAGTATAGAAACAGTTAGATTTCTCATGGACATAGCTAAATAAAAGTAGTATCATGTGCAAGACTTTTGCTACTTTGGAGTTTAGGAAGGGTTAGATTTACAAAGCCTTAAGTCGTATAAGGAAAGCCTGTTTTTATGTTTCAAACCTGTAATGGCCAGATCATAATGTAGCAATCTTACTGCTATGCCAAGACCCATCTTTATGGAGTTGGCGGAATGCAAAAATAATTAAAATGATCTCTATTGCTGCACAATTGAGCTGCTGCCATGTTCCTCAGTTTTTCATAGTTTTAGCCCAATTAATTTAGGTACAATAACTTAGTTTGGTTTGGTTTGGTTTGGTTGAATGTCTTGTCCCTTACTTGAATGGCTAGGGTTTATCAGATGGGTGGACCTTCCAGTATGCAAACTGTTTTATTTGGTTGAACATGTGTTGTACCTTCTGAGCAGTAATGTCCATGTTCTTGTATCACCACAAGTTGAATGGACTAAACCTTAATTTTGATAAAAATATCTTGACTGCACCCACCATAATATAAATATTACTGAAATTGTTATTTGCTTCATTATTCATATTATTGTGGGATACAATCATGTGGCAGATCAAATGGTATCGTAAAGTTTTTTAAATCAGGAATCAAATTTTATCCCAAAGATTTTCTGTCAGCTTGAAATTATATAAATATTGGGATTTTTATTTATTTGTTTTATTTTTTTACCATGCATAAATTGTGAAAGCACAATTCACAAAAGTTTTAAGAGTTAAACTTTTGCGAAATTTCTAGGTTTGTAGCCAGAAATCAGGGAAATAGTTGTCTTTTCCGGGGGCAAAAAGGGAGGTTTGTAGCCAGAAATCAGGGAAATAGTTGTCTTTTCCGGGGGCAAAAAGGGCATATAATTTGTGCCCTAATATTTGACTCAGTTTGGTTGACATCTAGGTTTTGATTTCAAAATTTCTAGGTTTGTAGCCTGAAATCAGGGAACCGACTTTTCAGGAAAAAGGGACATACATTTGTATCCAAATATTTGACCCAATTTGGTTGGCATCTAGGTTTGAATTCAAAATTTCCCTTTTTTTTTTTTTTTGGACTTTTTTGCACAAATGTTTGGCAAAGTTAAAAAATATCCTTTTTTTATTTGGAGATATGCCATGTATTTTTATTTTATAATAATTATTTTTACTAATTGAAGAATGAAATCAACAGCATTAACAACTTAAAATAGGTTAGAAGGCATCCCATTTTTCCTACATGTTGGATCATATAGGTGAACTCATTAAAGGCACATACATGCAAATACCCCGTAACTTCATTTTTCTTTTATTTTTAATGATCTTGGTGCATGTGTTCAAAAAGCATGGATATCATAAATAAATTGATTGTGATTTATCAACGGTCCTTCTATGATAGAGCCCATGTAGAGTGCATGGCTTTTATTAATTATTTTGATTGATAGAAATGGTTGGCCTCATTTGTGTTACTGTTGTCCTTGCACTACAGTCCCTCTTCATAGAGACAATGGAGTAATTAGGTGGGGACACAATAGTCATTGTCAGAATGACTTTTCTTTTGAAAATTTATTTTGGTTCTGTTTGGTTCAGCTCCTATTATGGGGATTCCCTCTATCATCTATTTCATTTCTCTTTGTTTACATTCTGGTTTGAGTTTTGAGTACCAAGACCTCCCTACCTACCACATATTAATGCTGTGTTTGGTTGGAGAATTTAGGGAGGGATTTGGAAAGGGAAACAGAAAATGTGTGTGAAACTAGGTGAAATATAAACATGTTTTATTCATATTTCACCTACCTTTTCCATTTCCTTTTCCAAATCCCTCATCAAATCCCTCCACCAAACACAGCATAAGGGAAAAAATCTAGACCTAAGCTATTTAAAACTTCTTGAGCATGTATTTTTTTTATTATTTTATTATTTTTTAAATTTATTTATTTATTAATTTTTTACCAATTTGATTTGGCCAAGGGCTCTAGATCCATAATCAATGGTTCCTCTTTTAGATCTAGACCTTGTTGGACCATTTGGTTTAAATACATTAGTATAAATCAATAATTATAATAAAGTGATAAATAAATTAATTAAAATTAAAAAGAAAAAGAAAAATGAAGATCCTTCATGGAGAGCATCCAACAGTGGGATTTGAACTATTGCATGCTGCTACAAGTTCATAAAGTATGCACAAGGGCTGATTGGATCTCTAAAATCAATTATTAGATGCTTCTAGTTTTAAATATTTCTTGGGTCGTTGAGTCAAACATTTGATAATAGAAATTGCATTTGCATGTGCTTACACCTAACTCATGAGAGTAGAGACAAATTTGACTAATTATCTGTAATGCTGACATGTGTGAACCACATTAGTTCTTGCAGCAACCTATGCAATTTGGGAAAGGGGGTTGTTAGACACCATTATGTATTATATTCTATCTACTTAAAATGGGCGACCCAGTGCTAGGTCAAGGTTTGAGATATAAACAGTGACCACTTTGTGAGTATCATGTTATTCTCATTGCTGTTGTAATCTTTGGGTGATTTTTCAATATGATTTTACCTTTGCATGCAAATATTGTAATGCTATTTAATATAGTACTCAAATACTATGGATTTTTGTTGCGTTCTCGGAAATGAAACTAAATCATCACTTTTTGTTTTGCTTAGGCTTTGAAATAAATCAATTTTGCATGTCTTGCCGGTTGACACAAATGTGATTTTGCTACCATACAGAATCTTTTTTCTGGAGTAGCTGAAATCATGTTATTTCTGTTCTGAACTAACAAAGTTGGTAATCTGCTGTTTCTGTGATGACTTCACTCGAGGGATGACTTGGTCTTAAAAGTTTAATATTCAGAAGAAAAGAACTGGGATCCATTCAATACTCGTAGGACTGTTACACAGTCTTGGGTAGAACTCAACTTCAAAAGCTAGTTGTTGACGTGAGGGTGTTCTCACACGTATATACTTTACATTACTTTAGTACCTAGGTGATATGGGACTTCACTTCACAAGCACATGTAGACGTGTCTTCAAAGGGGAAAAAAAAAGGTAAGGAGAAAATACCAATATTAGACCTTGGTATGGATTACTTGGTTCTTTGCTGAAAATATCATATTAGAAGATCAATGGATGATTATATTTTCCCTTGACCACCAGGAAAGATGAAATGTTGCAGAGACTAAACTATCCTAAGCTGTAAGCTTTTTCTTTGAACGAAGGCTGTAAGCTTAATTACATGCATTTCAACCAATTAAAAATGGTATAAACTACCATTTCTTGTTGAGTGAATTTTTCAGTTCCTTTATTCTAGCCCTGTTTTTCTCAGTAGCAGCATTAATCCATTTGGTAATGTTGGACAATATAACTTATTCGGTCATGTTGGACACAAAACTTGCATAACGATTCCTATTGTTCTTGAAATTTCCGTGTGAGATAAATAATTTGTGACTGCACATCCATGTTAATCTGTAATTCCCACCGGGCATTGTAGAGATAACCATGCCTTGCCTCTCAAATATTTAATGTTTGTGAAAATACTGATTTGCATTTTCTTTGAGCCGTGACTAAATATAATATAAATGGGACTTTTCAGGAATAATGACATATAATGGCCTAGAGAGTTGCATACTTAACAGTCATTCTTATGAAAATGAAAGTGGCGCAAGCAGGGCAGATGGATGTGCAACTGACTCCTTGGATGAAGATGCCTCAAGCTGTTCTTCTAGCAATAATGCTTCTGGATCAGTCTCTTATCACTGGACGATGATGAAGAGGGATGAGCAGGGACTGGATGAATGGGAGGTCACAGAAAGCCCCTTACATTTGTATGTCAAAGAAAAACCTGTTTATAGTGTTCAGTTTTCAGATGTTGAAACCATGAAAGAAAGATTCGCAAAGTTGTTGTTGGGTGAAGATACTACAGGGGGACGCAAAGGGCTCTCCACTGCATTAGCATTGTCTAATGCCATAACAAATCTTGCAGGTTCGCAAATATTCATTTCCTTACCAAAATATGAGTTGATGTTTTATTGCTTTATATTTCTGTAACCTCTAAATATATTTGGCAAGTTAATATAATGCTTCACAAAACATTATAGTCAAGACATGTGGTTTAGTCTCAATATGATAACTAACATTATTTCATTGGAATTATGATTAAAGCCAAGGGTATTGGCATGAGAAAGATGGGGAATTTTTCTTCAAATTTTTTTTTGTGAAGGTGCTCCCAATTTAAGCTTCTTTTATTTATTTATTTTATTTCACCTATTAGTATCTATGTCTAAGAGCAAACACATTGCGACTTTGAGTGCTTTTGATGTATGTAAGAAATACAAAGATACAATAATCAGTATCTACAATAGGAATTGACATGTAGAAATATGAAATACATGTATAGGATTTAATGCTAATTGCCAGTTGTAACCACAAATATCAAATATTGATGTTCCAAACGGAAATCAAGGGTGGCTTTGATCGTATTTCTTGTAGTGTAACTTTATCATTTCATTACGTTTTCTCCAACTTAAAAAATACTATAAATGGATTTGCAGCATCAGTTTTTGGGGAACTGTGGAAATTAGAGCCACTGCCAGAGGAAAGAAAGAGAAAATGGCGAAGAGAAATGGACTGGTTGCTCTCCCCTACCAACTATATGGTTGAGTTGGTTCCTGCTAAGCAGCATGGTGCCAATGGCCGGACCATGGAGGTATCTCATTTCTTCTGGTTGATAGAAAGTCAGTAAAATTATTTCTCTATTTAGCAAGATTTAGCCTTAGCATTATTGTCCTTTTTATTTTATTGTTGAGCAGATAATGACTCCAAAAGCTCGTGCTGACATCCATATGAATCTTCCAGCACTTCAGAAGTTGGACTCCATGCTTATTGTAGGTGGTTTCTCTGTTCCCATCAAAATCAAACAAACTACCTATGCTTGAAATTCACCATGTTGCATTATGAAACTGACAGGAGATGCTAGATTCAATGGTTAGCGCTGAGTTTTCATATGCAGAAGGATGTAGCCAGGCTGAAGGCAGGAGCAGGAGGTGGTGGCTTCCTTTGCCCCAAGTACCAACCACTGGCCTCTCTGAAATCGAAAGGAAAAAATTGCTAAAACAGGGTAAAGTTGTGCACCAAGTATTCAAGGCTGCCAAATCTATCAATGAAACAGTCTTGCTTGAAATGCCTGTCCCAATCATAATCAAAGATGCACTTCCCAAGGCAAGCAACTTTCTTCATTTCAAAGCACTTCTAACTCACAATAAGCCCAGCAACATATCCTAGGATTTTTTTCTTCTATATATATACATATAAATTAGGAGCCAATTTGAACAAATCTTGGTATTTTAGTTCATTTTGGTTTTGGAAGGTATACCATGGACAAAATATATAGGCCTTAATGCAAATAGCTCCAATCCAAGTTGAACTTTATTAGCTGACAGATTTTTTTTGCCCTAATCACCTTCCACAAAAAGAAATGATCATCAGACTATGGGTTCAAGCTATCATTAACCTGTTTTGTGCCGAATAAAAAGTTGCACTCGTGCAAAAAAAAAAAAAAATTAGTTGGACTGTTGATCCATTTTAGCCACTTTGTGCAAATTATGCCAAAGGTTAAGACCCCATCCAATGGAACAAAAAGGGGCAAGCTTTGGACTTTTAATCCATTTCAAGCTCATGTTAAAAGCTTGTCTGTTCTCTGCTATACATATTCAGAATATCTTGTGAAATTGTTTGCTGCCTTTGCCATGAGTGATGACCATCTTTTACATGATTTCAGTCTGCAAAGGCAGGACTTGGCGAAGAACTTTACAGAATCTTGAGTGCAGAATCAAAATCATCTGAGGAAATGCTCAATTCCCTCAACTGGAAATCTGAACACAGTGCCCTTGAAACCATCAATAGGTTGGAAGCAGCAATATTTGCATGGAAAGAGAGAATTACAGAACAAGCCTGTGATAAATCTCCAGTTCGAACATCATGGTCGTTCATAAAGAGTCCCACATCTGAATTGGAGAAGATGGAGGTCTTGTTGGACCAAGCAGAAGCTCTTATACAGCAGCTGAAGATCAGACATCCTAACCTTCCTCAAACATTTCTTGATGTTGTGAAAATCCAGTATGGCAAGGTGAGTTCAGTAAAATGCAATTGGTCTGGAAAACCTGACCATAAATGTGTAGTTTCTTTCTGATTCATATCCATTCTATCTGTTCTCTCCAGCCTTCGAAGTCCCAAAATTTTACTGTTCGGTCGTGTTTTCATTTTGTATTCTTTGTTTTCAATTTCAGGGTAAATTAGAAAATTTTGTTTGGCATACTGTTTTCAAGAAAATTTTCTGAAAACGGCTCACTTTTTAGGACACATGAGAAATTTGTTTTTGAAAATTTGAAAATTGTTTTTGCACAAAAATGAAAATGATGGGTGCTTTTGAACTTCTCATTGTTTTTGTTTTTCGAAAATACGGAAAATTAAAAATGAAAATGAAGAAAATGAAAACACAACCAAAGCTACACTACTAATGAGATATCTCCATGCTTTTGGGTGTGCAATTATTAAGTTTTTTCGTTCTTTTATTGCAATAGGGAATAATTTTTGGTATTTCCTTTCATTGATACATATGTATATGTAGGATGTTGGGCATTCAATTTTAGAAGCATATTCTCGGGTTCTTCAAAACTTGGCATTCAAAATACTGTCAAGGATAGGGGATGTTCTACAAGAAGATGTTTTGAGCAATCCCAATTCACCTGTTTCAACTTATAGCTTTCCTGGAATGAATTTCACTGGGAACTCTGACTCTCGAGGGTTTAGTCACCGCGTAGTTCAATCCCTCACTGAGAAGATGAGCAAGGTGGATGGACAGCTTTGCAATTCTAGTCCAAGGTTTGCTTCGGATTTGGAGCTTTCATGTTCTGAACCCAAAACCAGTTCAGTGACTGCAACACCTAGTCGCAGCCAAGTTTGGTGCATAGGCAGTGGTGTGCCTCCTCAAAATTCCCCTTAATAACAAATGAGTCTAATTTTCTAGTGTTCTTTCTGTAAATGATATTGTTATATTCTTGCTGAGATTCAAGTTTTGTTTGGTTGCTTGCTGTTACAGGGTAATTTTGGTTGTCCAAGAGTTGTCTGGCATGTTGTATAAAACAGAATGCTAGTACTATTGTCTATTATGTAATGGGGATAATGATTGTTATTTTATTTTTATTTTTTTATCCAATTATAAAATAGTATGCTGTGACCTTTAATTGTTGGCAATGGTTTATAAAAGCCCTAACTGCTATGCCAACTCTATAAGCATTGAAATTGAAAAAGGAAAAAAGAAAAGAAAAAAAAGAAGGAAACTAACATAACATCTACAGTAATAACATCGACAAATTTGAATGAAAAGCAAAAGATTAGCAAAAGATTATTTAAAATCAGTTTAAAAAAAAATCATCTTATTTTAAATCTTTTTAGAACTGATGGTAATTTAATATGATCTCACAGGAACTAGAAGGTCACATTTGTGCCTCTTATGCTGATAGATGGCCTTGCTACACGTGAGATGTGTACATAAATTATTGAATTAAACCTCCCTTAACAGCTTACATTTTTTTTTTTTTTGTTGTTGAATATTTTAGAATAGTTGATTATTAATGAAAATAAACAATATTTTCTCACATTTACTTGTAGAGACCTAATGCATGAAACAGAATGCGGACCTTGGAGCTTAGTGTAACTATGACAAGGGCTCACTTCAAAAAAAATTGCTGCACTCAAAACACATCTTTTCTTATTTGTCGATGCAGTGAAGCTACGCTGTGGGAACCATCAGTATACGTTTTGCAATTTTTAAATCCTGAATTACAGAATCCTAACCCAACTTGAACCAAACACATGTTTTGGAAGTTTGAAACCACCTCTTTATACTATGCAAAAGTTTCTCAACCTAATGTTCACGGGTTTTCTTTCCTTTTCTTTTCCAGGAAAACATTCTTGAAACCCTTAGGTTTGTCTCACATATAACCCAGAAGGCTTGAAATTGACAAGAAAATGCATTCCAGCTTGGCACATATAGGGCATGTTTGTTTGAGTGGACATGTGCTTTGGATTGGATTAATAATCTAATAAAATTAATAATCCGATATTTGGTTAAACAATTGAAGTAGGGACTAATTATTTTAAACTTAACTATTAGTTAAGATAGGATACATAATCCAACGGATTCATAGTTCTAGGATTATTAGTCATGAGAATGCTAATCCAGTCCGCCCAAACAAACATGGCCATAGAGAGAGTCTCAAGGCTCATTGAGTGGACAAATCAATTATATCAAACACTAAGATGCATTTAGGAAACCAGATAGGAATTTTGAATTACACATAAGGCCCTTGTGATGAAGACATTCATAACATCTCTACTCCAAAAAGAATCTCTCCCTCTTTGTGATGAAGACATTCATAACATCTCTACTCCAAAAAGAATCTCTCCCTCTTTCTCCCTCTCTGTGTTAGCAGCTTCAATTCAAAGATTCCAGCCGGAGAGGAAGGGCATGGCATGAACAGTTCAGTCCATTTCTGCCCGTCAATGTTATTATTGTGCAACCAAAGTAACAAACAAGGCAAACAACAATCATACCAGCAGAAAAAGACTGAACTTCTCAAACCATCACTACTGAAGATCATAGCTTCTTGTTTTCTCCGAGTTAGAGAATCTCTTCACTTCCCAATGTTCTGCTGGTAATCAAGAAACCAACTGCGAATTGGCAGCCTTAATTCTCCGATGGCAATGGATCTGGTCTGCAGATATCCCCACGACAAAGTGGGCATACCCTGTGTTCATTATATAAGTTAGCCAAATGTGACAGCATTGGTAAAATACTTACATAACAATCACTGCAAATTTTGGCATAAGTACAATATATACTTTTACCTGTTGCGCTAAAACATCAAATAGTAAGGACATAAAAATTGAATGAGCTTAGCAGAGAGACTTTGCTCAAGAAACACAAGCTAAGTGCATACCTGTGAATCTCCTTGAGCCATTTGTCTACACATGTTCTATGAAATTCATGGTGACAAGGTAGTATCCTCACACTATCTCCTTCCTCGTACTCAACCAGGCATATGTAACATCTGTTATATCAACAGATTGCCCAAATCAAATGTAAATAAGACAAGTATGGACAAAAGAAAATCTAACCAAGAGGAAGTTCTTGGATACACTGATTGGTATTGGGGATATAGCATATTTGAGCATTCCCGCTTATAGATTATTATTATTACTTTTTAAATTTTTTCTGTAATAAAAAATTTGCCAAGTATTCAGTAACAAAACTACCATCAAAATGTATTTCAGCTAGTACGATCTTGGGCAACTTCTGTTCTTTAGTTAATTGATTCTTGCATACAACTAATTCAATTTATGGTTCGAAATTTGATTAGAGAATGTGGGAGCAAAACAAGACAAAGCCTGTTCCCCACAAAAAATAATTCCTCTCTTGCATGCTTCAATCAACCCACCTTTCTTGCAGCATTCTTATACAACATTTAATACATTATGGCATCACAATCATCAATCCACTCAAATCTGTTTGAACTCTTTTATAATATCTTTCACCCGATTATGCATCTTGATTGAACTGATCTTCCTTACGTTCCACGAAAGATCCTTCACATGGAACAATTGTTTTCCACATTCCCCTCATACCTTAGCCTATGTCTGTTTTTATTATTATTATTATTTATTTTTTATTTTTTTTCTATGCACCAATGATCAAGGAGGACAAGGATGATTAAAGATCAAATCAGATGATCTCATGTGATGGACAACAACGCAGAGAAAGATTTTTCTAGGCCCACAATGAACAGTCATTGAGGAGGTCTCTAGTGTTGCACAATATACTAAATACTGATGCAATCAAGAGTGAACAACTATTAAGAGTAGTCTCAGTCTGTTAAAACGGTTTCCCTATGGAAATGAAGAATCAATCACCACCATTTGAAGTTCTCTTAGTAAGCCAAAAATCATTGAATAACAGTGAAACATGAACACTTACTGTGCAGCCTCTTGATTGAGATGCTTTTGCAATTTACTGTGCAATTTCACAGGCAGGGATTCCACAACTTCATTGGGTGCAGGAACAGATCCAATCGAAGACATTGAAGGTCGAGAAGATAAAACTACAGATTGCTGGTGAATTTCATCCAGAACCTAATTAAGATACATATAAAAGGTTTCAGCTTTTATAAAACAACATAAAAGAAGAATATTCAAAGTGTCACCCCCAAAAATGGCAACATTACCTCGAACAAAGCTTCAGCTAACATTACAATTCTTGATATGCTAGCCCTTGCACTGGTGTCATCATTTGAATTAGCATCTTGAGTACTAATACGACATGTGCAATGGCCTGTCCGATGTTGACCAGATATAATACAAGACCTTTCATGTCCAGACAAGTTCTCAAAACGGCTGCCCAACCGCTGAAGAGCACGAACCTAAAATGTGTCATTCATTTGATAAATGTTACATCAAGAAAACACAATAAATAGACACACGGGGCACAATATCAGTCAAAAGAAGACACCTTAGCACGGCTCAATGGATGTAAAACTATATCAGAGAAGTTTAGCCACTTGAAAAGGTAAAACAAGGATCAATTATCATACATAAACAATTAAATGGTTATAATTATCAATATTTAAAGAAAGTATCTATCCTAAGATCTACTTTGTATTCTAACAAATTACCTATAATAATAGTTCATAATTAGTCAGCACAAATTTACAAACCTGAGATCGTATTCTTCTTCTCCGTTCCAAGAAATTTGATCTATGTTCCAAGATATCATGATACCTCGCTTCTCTTGCATGTGATGTTTCCACTTCATAATCTTGACTACTGTACAAGGACCTAGACATACCAGATGACATATAAGAAGAAGAAGTTGATGAGGTCAAAGCATTCTCATTGGATGCTGAAGCCCATGTTCCATCACCCAAAGGCAATGTCCCACCATGCTGATTGGTGTCTCTCACTTCCCTATCTTGCTGCAAAGAAGAAAATGTAAAGTTAGGAAATGATGATCTGTGAAGAACTCTGTCACGTAGTCTTCCAACACTTAAGGTTCTACTAAAATGAACATTCCGTTCCACAGGTTCTCGAGCTCCAATCCGCCTATCAGGAAGTCTTGTCTCCATGCTCTCTGTATCAGTATGGATTCTTGGAGAATGCAAATTTTCATAGAAAATAGTAGGATTATCAATGTCTCTGGCCACATTTAGAGTAGAGGTAATCTGATCAACTCGCCTAGCAGAAAATCCAGAAGTCGTAGGATTGGAATCTAAGTTACCAGAAGCAAAATCTTCATAATGTGGTGAACCAAATCTATTTACAAGGCATGAAGGAAGAAAGTCTTGACATCGTGAAGATTCATTTCTATTAACCAAACCATGGGCAGGACCTGAGTGTCGATGCAGATCTTCCTCTTCGTTTGAAATTGTGAACCTTGATGATGATACAGGATAAGCTGTTGATGAACCTAAACTTGTTGCTCTGCTTAGCCTGAAGCTTATGTTACCTGGAAAGAAGCTAAAGCGAGAAAGAAAGCGACAGGAACGGCTCAATGATCGAGTAGAGAAAGCTCGTGAACTACTACCAGCTCCAGAGACAGTCTCCGTACGGTCTGATTGACCCCAAGCATCAAGCTCAGTGTTAGAAGATATACAGGCTGTTTCATCAGGTTGTTCAGCTTTAACTTTGCCACAACATTCAGTTTTCACATGGTCTGAATCTGATTTAATCTGGTTTGCACTTGGGCTGTTACAATCATGTTCTTTACTATGATGATCAGAAACCTAAGCATGAATTAAATATCAATTTAATTCTTAAAGAAATATGGCCACGTTAATGCATAAAAAATATATGTTGAAATAAATAATAGTTCAAACTTCAAACACATCTATTGATTGCAAGGTGAAACACATTTTTCACAACATTCACACTAGGTTATAAATGAAAAATTAAATATGAACACATCAAAATGACTGAATTAAAGAGGAGTTCTAAGAAATAGCATGATCAAGGAGTCTAAGGATTGGCATTTGGCATTTGATAATTAAGGGAACAGAGGTAAAAGATGAATCATTCATGGGAGTGATGGACACATGTAGGGACAAATAACAAGATAAATGTGTATTTGTTTGAATAAAATTTATCTCAGCAATTAAACTTGAGGTCTTAAAGATATGTTTGTCAAGCTAGTGGTGACATAATTTTTTGGAGCCTAACCAATGTATTTTTCTTATTGAAATAGTAAGGTTGTGTCTAGCTCCTGGATTTGGGTAGTGATTTGGAAAGGGAAAAGAAAAATTGGAAAAAAAATGTGAACTGAAATATAAGCTAAATTTTCTCCATTGTTGCCACTGTTTCCTTATCATTCCAAATCCTTATCCAAATCCATGATCCAAACATAGCCTTAAGGTGCATGTGCGTATGCATTTAGACATTTACTTGAAAATGTTACTTATATGTGCTAGCACTTTGTGAAGAGTGAAGCAGATAATTTCATATACCAAATAGTTTTCAAGTTAAGGAGTGAAACCAAGCAAATTACTACTCCTGACTTAAAAATATTTTAGCTACTGCACTCAAAAGGCAAGGTGTAGGAGGTGATTAAAAAGAAAGTGAAGCAAAATATGCTCTGACCATTCAGTCAAGAAGAAGATGCAAAAAAATTCATAGAGTCCAAATAAATAAAGGCCGTGCCTTTCTCATTTAGAGACCTAATTGAAACAAGAGACAAAGATAAGAAACTGAAAGATAAGCAAACAGTGTGTACAAGCCAATCATCAACTTCTACCACAAATGTTACATTATTTGAACATTGCTCTTTAGTCCCCTACACCTATCAAAAAGAACAGCATTAACAATAATTAAAATTGCCTCTTAGTTCACCATGACAAATATGAAAAACCAATAGTATAGGTTGTGCTATAAACCTTATGTAAAGTTACATGATTCATCACACATATGAAGCATGGAATAAATTATGCTTTTTGCTCTTTGACAGTTTTATAGATTAGGTCGTGTTTTGATCATGGATTTGAAAAAAAGGGGAAACGGAAAAGGAAAAGGAAAAGGTGGGTGAAATGTGAATGATCCAAACACAGCCTTAGTGCATGCACAATGTGCTTCGTTTTTCTTTTATTTTTGAGCAACTCAATGATCTCAGTGCAGTCATAATATGACAGATACCTAAATTGGGGTTGTTGATTCACAGCAGCACACATCCTGACTTGGAAGAAGCCAAATTTAAGCATATAAAATCAATAGACAATCCAAATTTTCAATTTTGATTAAATAATTCTCTGTAATTTAAAAGATTTCCGTGATGCATCCATAGTGATTAGTCCATGTTGTTCTTCAATCAAAACTAACAACAACAACAAAAAAAAAATTGTAGTATTCTGCATTAAAAACCCAATTCCAAACAAACCCACTTAGACAATCACAAATAAGCAAAAAAGGAACAATTCCTTAACAATGTAACAACGATAAAAATAGCAATTAATAATAATAGAGAAATGAGAAGGCAAAGATAAAGTGACCTGTTCGTCATCATTGTCACTGTCGGGAGATCCAGAGGAGGGTCCAAGACATGAAGATTGGAACACTCTGGTTCCTTTGGATCGACTCCTTCGAACAATGGACGAGGAGGACGATGATGATGATGATGATGATGAGTCGGCAGCATTGGGCTTGCTACTGCTCGATCCCATCTTAGCCCTCCCAAAGATGCACTGATTTCTTCACATCATCAACCCCAAATCCACCTCAATTTTGAGATCCAGATGGGTTAAGGCATTATTGCTTCCAATTTGAATCTCTAGAACATACAAACATATAGATAGATACAGATAGATACATGTATATATACATTTATTGGGGAAATTAAGGAGCGTGCTGTGAGCAAGTGTGAGCAAGGATAGGATCCTCTCATTGCCTTCTACTGGGTCCCCTCCTTGATATCAAGATTCACTCTAAAAAATTTAACGACTCAGATCATTTTAATAAAAAAAATTAAAAATTTAAAAGTATTGACTGGTAGATTATCCGCACACCCATTGCGATTTGTCTTTAATATAATTTTTTTTTTTTTGATGTTTTAAAAATTACATTTCCTCCTTAAAGAGTTTAATTACATTACAATTTACCCCTTCTATCAACAAATTGCGAAGTCAACTAATGCATTTTGCGGACATCATTAATTATTTTTTAAAATATCAATTTTACCCTTTTTGAAGAGAAAAAATAAAAATATCTCTTCGAGTTGCTTCCCGCTCTCAACCTACCTTATATAATTGCACAACACACCTTCAGATTGAACAACATCACCAGTAAATAAAAATGAAAGAAGTAGGCAAGGGAGAAAATGGGGGGAAGGAGAGGTCAACAACAAAACCACATCATCGGAGCTTGTAGGTGAAGGCAATAAAGCCCGAGCATCGAGCTTGCCGTGCAAATCAAAATAATGAAATGATTACCAGATAGATCAAAACAGTGAGATGAAGGACTTCAAGACATATTGAGCTCATTTGGCAAGCTGGTTAAAATCAGTTTTTGACTTTTAACCCATTTTGAGTCACATTACCTCTCATATTTTTTACCCACAAAAAGATGAGAAAGTCAAAAAATTCAAAAGTCAACTTTTAACCAACTTCCCAAAACACTTTATTGAAACGTCAAGTGTTGGACAAATTGTGTAATTTAAACAAGACAAATAGATTCATGATTAATCAATGATGTTACAGAATAAGAAATCATGTTGAATATTATTTGGGACTTGGGACTCGGACTGGGACTTGGACTTGGGCTTGGACTTAGGTTTGGGTTTAGGCTTGAGCTTGGGCTTGAGGCTTGCTGGAATGGGTTAAGTTTGGGTTGGGCTGAATTGGTAGTCCACCAATCTAATCTTTTTGGGCGAGGTCTACTGCAGATATGTATATACACATAGGTGTATAGTGTGTGCAACTCACACATTGAATCCCTATTAATTATGTGTATTACTCCAGTAGTTTTGCAAGAGTAACAGGTATTAGTTGCTAGCCTTCATGGTTGGAGGCTCCTTCTCTCTTCCCCATGGTATATAAATAGAAACCAACCTCTTTTGTTGTTAACACAGATTTTTGTCTTCTAGAATTATACAGTCAATTTGTTTGCTTCTACAATATATTCTTTTTGTGTGAGAGAGTGCTGTCATTGTCGGTTTGCCAAAGCTAACAGAAGGTGCTTCTGCGTTAACCGGTCTAAATCATCGTATCCTAGGAGATAGAAGTCGATTTGCCTCCAGCACCCACAGTGAAGTGGCTAATTTATTTTAAAAAAACTGTGGTATTACACATGCTTTAGTTTGCTTTCTTTACCATTTATTGCATTATGTATTTCTGTGCGATATAGTTGTGATATTCAACATGTTTTCTTATTCTGTAACATAATTGATTAATCATGAATCTATTTGTCTTGTTTAAATTACACAATTTGTCCAACAATCTTAAAATAAAGAAGTTATTGACATATTATAACACGGAAACCAAAACAAAACCTGGGCAGCATGTAACCAAAATTTTCCACTAGAATACATAAATATGTAATTGAAATTTATATATAAAGCATGACTTCTAATCAAGAATGTATACAAATCAAAACTGTACACATGTAGCCAATAAACAAATCTAATTATCAAGTGCTACTAACAGTGACCATTGTGTCACGACCTGCTTCCCGTATCCAAGGGTTAAACATCATGATAGCTAGTAACTGAAGTTACCTCTAGCCAATTCTTAAGTAAATTATTAAACGCGAGTGGGAAAAAAAATATTTAAGTGAGGGTATCCAAATAATCCTTGGAGCTTCTATTTAATTAAATTGTCAGAGCTGAACTATGTCTACAAAGTGCTTTGTGCCTATCTTACGCACTGGCCCTGACATGTCACCTAAAAGTGGTAAACAACTACAAGCACATGACAAAGTGAGAAATATTATACTAAGAGCATAAGGGCATAAAATTCACCATAAATAATTATTGGCTAAACAAAGCTTGATATTAAAATACAAAGTATATAATACGGAAATCATTTGATATATAATATTAAATAATTATAACCACGGTACAAAACGAAACAGAACAGATGTATGGACTCAAGAGGTGGCTCGTATGAACTCTAAAGGTGGCTCCCACAATAGTATAACAGTTAGCTCCGTACAGCACTTTGCTCCACACCAGAAATCAGAGAGTCATAACCACGGTACATAACAGAACAGATGTATGGACTCAAGAGGTGGCTTGTACGAACTCTAAAGGTGGCCCCCACAATAGTGTAACACTTAGCTCCGTACAGCACTTTGCTCCACACTAGAAATCAGAGTCTCATAACCACAGTATAGAACAGAACAGATGTATGGACTCAAAAGGTGGCTCATACGAACTCTATAGGTGGCCCCCACAATAGTGTAGCACTTAGCTCCGTACAACACTTTATTCCACACCAGAAATCAGAACAAAACAGAACAGATGTATGGACTCAAGAGGTGGCTCATACGAACTCTAGAGGTGTCTCACACAATAGTGTAACACTAAACTCCGTACAACACTTTGCTCCACACCAGAATTCAGAGTGTCGGTGGATCCATGACAGATAGAGGGTCACAAAGTGACTAATCAGAGAGCCAATGGTTATTTAAGTCCCCCAAGGCATGTGACTCTTGTGGTGGTACTTACAAAATAATTACTCAAAACATATTTTCATAAAACAGTTATATCCATGGGTTTTCCTTATTATATAAAATAAGGTTCATAAATTAAATATGCTAATATAATTTACAAAATATAATTTACATAAAATAAACTATGGTAACTCAAAATATACGTAAAACATAAAATGGTAACTCAAGGTATAATATAACTCACCTTAATATTAATCCCTCATTATTATTTCTTCGTTCACGTAACTCAAAACATACATAAAATATATGATGGTCACTCAAGACATATATAAAACTTATTATGGTGACTCAATGTATAATATAAGTCACCTTAACTTTAATTTCAACTTTTAGCTTTCGTTCACTATGACCCACTAGATACTCCAAACTAAACTCAAAGTTTTATATATAAAACTTGGACGCCAAAGAGAGAGAGAATAAGTGAGTTTGGTGATCATGATACTACTGACAGATAATTATTTATACAGTAAAGGAGGCGTGGGCGACAAGCAATCTTGAAGGGCAGGTATTGTTTGTTTTATAAAAAATGTTATATTTCAGTATATTTTAGTCTAGAAAAAATATAGAAAAAATATAATAAAAATACCATAATACTCAGAAAATGATTTCAAATAATAATGTAAAATTTAAAGGACAACTTAAATTTTCAGATTGTTACAATCTTCCCTCCTTTTAAAAATTTCATCTTCGAAATTTATCATATTTATAAACTATCCACTGCCCACTCTGATAAATATATATTTGATGATTAATTTGATATAAAATATTATCTCAAAAATATTTTACCAAAAATAACTCATTGTGTACTTGTCAAAAATTGTTTTGGGCCAAACTGAGAAACAATGGATGACGTTAAAAACTTTTTATTGGTTTTGTTTCTGAAAAAAAAAATAAAATCAGAACATAACTAAACAAGCGACTGTAAATGAAATGAGAGAATCATATACAAGAGTTAAAGGAATTTGAGATGCACTTCCATCTCTTTTATCCGTGAACTTTCCATTGATGGGAAATAGTTTCAAAATCAATATTTTTATAAATTTTGAAAGATTATATATTTGGACCCACTTCTAAAAAGTCAAAATGATTTTTTTTTTCAAACGTTACGGAACATATAATACGGAATTTGTTTTGTTTTTTTTTTCTTTCAATTTATTCAGCATATACATGAAAGATATATACAATTATATATAAAGTAATAAATAACTCATCTTAACGAAATACCATAATTATATATACCACCATTGTTGTTACACAAATATTTAATTTAAATTTAACCTATAATCAAGCTCAACGTTTCCCCTACTCTATTTGTGCATGTGTCTTATGCTCCAATTAGGGGTACAACTTGGGTGGGCTTAGCCCGAGCAACCTATGCCCAGCCCGAGTTTTTTTAGGGCTTGGGCAACAATATCTTGTAATTTGGATGGGCATGGGCAGATTTTTGATGCCTGAATTGTGATTCGGGTTGGGCCTAGGCAGAGTCAGTGACTAACCCGAGCAACCCAAACCCGAATTTCATTTAATATATTATATAAATTATATAATATATGTATAAAATAAATTAAATAGCTAGCCCTTAATTTTTTTTTTTTTTGGGCTGGTCTTTGGCCCTTAGATTAGCATATTTTATTTGGATCATTAGATTAAAACTAAAAACAAAACCCTACCTTATCTATTCTTTCTTCTCTCTCTTTGAGGCTCTTGTGGCTGGGATGATGTTTAAGTTTGTTGTATAGACTAATGGACTTGTATATAATGAAGCATTGTTTATTGTATGAAAAAATTTAGAAACTATTTGTTGCCATGTGAAATTCAAGCAATTCGGGCTAACCCGAGTTCGAATTATGAAGCTTGGTCCGGGCTTGGGCAACCATGCTCGGGTTGATGGTTGGGCTTGGGCACTGCCAAACATAATTCGGGCTGGGCTTGGGCAAACCTCTAACTCGACCAAACCCGCCCGAGTTGCACCCCTAGCTCCAATGCTTTTATAAAATAATTTAAAAAACCGAGGCTTTGATATCACTTGTGACGACCCGCTCCTCGTACCCAAGGGTTAAATATCGTGATGGCTAGTAACTGAAATTACCTCCGGCCAATTTTTAAACAAATTACTAAACACAAGCGGAAAAATATTTAAGTCCTCCAAGGCATGGGACCTCCGTGGTGGTACTTATAGAAAATAATTACTTATAAAATCAGTGTCAAATAATTAATAAAATTTAAACAAATATATT